GGCCAACCATGAGCTGAAAACATGAGCCAAGATAAACCTCTCCTTTAAATTGCGGGTATTGGGCTCTGTGTCTCAGCAACGAGAAATGACTGAGACGCACATATTAACTCATTTGTCTTAATCCTCACAGGCTGTTACAACAAAATGCCATAAACCAGGTCACTTATCAACAACAGAAATGTATTTCTTAGTTCCGGAGACTGTAAAATCTAAGATCCAAGATTTGATGTCCGGCGAGAACCTGCTTCCTGGTTCATACACGGTCGTTGTTTCGCAGCGGAGATGTAGCTCTCCGGGGCCTCTTTTATAAGGGCACTAATCCCATTCATGCGGGCTCCACTCGAGATTTAATCAACTCCCAAAGGCCCCACATCCAAAGACTGTCGTCATGGGGGGCTAAAATTTCAACACAGGGATTTGGAGGGGGACTTAACATTCAGTCTTCAGTATCATTTAATGTTTATAATGTCACCACAGGGTCGGTATTTATTCCATTAACTGATGACAAAACTGAAGCATAGACAGGTTGGGTTATTAGCCAGAAGTTATTCAGTTAACAAGGAACAGACTCCAAATTTTCATCATAGGCTCTCTGACTACAGAGCTTGTGCTTTTAACCAGTACTGACAGGTAATTAATTATGTTCTCTTAATCAGCTCTATCTCTCCCGCTATACTAGAACAAATAGGACTGCTGTGTTGTCTAACTCCCAGGGGTTATCATTCATGTTTACATTACAGGCAGTAATTAGAGGGGAATTTATATTTTTAATCCTGCATTAGAAAAGAAGAAAAAAAATAAAATTAAAAATTAAAAAAAAAAGAAGAAGCCAGGTGTGGTGGGGTATAGAGAGCCCTTCCCGGTCCTCGTCAAGTTTATATTTGTAATCCCATGGAAAAGTTATTGGAACTGTAATGAGTTAATTTCAATCTACGACTTCCAATGCAATCCATGGTAGAATAAAGACGTTAAGACATATTTGTAGTTCTGAGGAGGGGTCCTAAGTCCAGTCACGATGATGGCTATCCAGAACGAAGGTCTGGACCCAAGGGAAACCTGGGTTTTACTCATTCCTGAAGAAGGGAGTGGCTTGAGGATGAGTGACTGTGAGAATGGTGGGAAGTACGTGAGTACTGTGAGCTGGGCTAGGTAGGAGGCCCGAAATCACCTCTGCAATATGCAGAAAGAAGGCTATGCAGAAAGAGTAATTTGCATAGCGCAATTCAGATAGTATCTAATGTTTTAGCATGGTGCTTCAGCTCTGATGTGTAATCTTTCAATCCCCAGGAAGTCACAGCTTCTATCTCGAGGCTCAATCCCAGCCGAGTAGAGCATTGGCTCTTCATCCCACCTCATTTCAGGTCAAAAAAGGGAACCAGGGATGGGGGTGGGGTGACCGAGGAAACGCTGCCTGCCATCTTCAGAGACTACCATCAGCACCTCGGCTGAACCAATAGGCACTGCTTAAAGCCAATTGAAGGGATAATGAAAAGTTCTAATCAGCTCTGCACATATCAATACATGGAAATAGGGTCAGGCTCAGCCAAACTGGAGACAGTTGCTCCTTCTTCAAGGAGAGTCACCCAGGCGGTCCTCCACAGTGGTGCACGCCTACAATCCCA